TCTTCCTGTTATGAGCAGCAGGGTACTTCATATTCATAGTAGCTGGGTGGAAAGGGTTGGGAAGGGGTTCAGCTGTTTTTGGCCTAAAGGTGTGTGCAGGCAGAGGAGAATGGGATGGCCATGCTCCAGCTTTCCTTTGGCTCTGCAGACTTAGGCCGGAGGCAGACACTCCCTGCCACACATCCTCACTGTTTCCACTGCATAACCTTGAAGCAGATATTTTGCTGCTTTTTATGTCAGATAAGTTGATGAAATGAGGAAACATCTCTTTTAGGTCACAGGTAGTTTGCAAACAGAGTCGTTATCTGAAACAGTCATTGTTTAAATTCAGTGACTAAAAGACAGACTAAAAGGGATAAGTGCATGGATGCTCTTCTGGTTTTTAATACAGCCAGACGCCCTAAAGTGCAAATGAAATTTAGTCTGATCATAATCCACCTTGGAACGTTATTACTTTGTAATTCCAGCCTGGCAGCTGTGCTCCTTGGCCTCAGCCATTCGTTTCACGCACCTACTGACAATGCTTTGATAAAATGATCTATTTTCTTGGTCCAGTTCGGCTGAAAAAGCCCAGCTGCTAAACATGTGTTTCTTCAAGAAAAACTAAACCACTGGAGACTGACTTCAGAAGGGGGACTTCCACAGATTGTATGGTATTCAAATCTAAATACCTTTTAATTTAAATCAGGAGCCATCTATTCAGCTATCCAGCCTTTTAAATAAGTTTTTTTCTATATATTACCATACTTTTTACTTTCAAACCTTAAACGTATCATGTAACATGTGATAGTCCAGCAGAGTGGTGTGTAATTTAGAGGAGCTTACAACTGTTTATTCAGTGAATTATCTAGAATTAAAACGGAGCAAAACCTACCAAGATATAATTGTCCATCTTTACTGACAGACCAGACAAGGAAAGCTTTGGAGGAGCTGTGTGGATCAATAGCTGATTTTATAAAATATAAGGCAACCATCAGCTGTAGATGCTACAAATCTATGCCGTATGCCAGAGGCAGTGTTATTCTCTATCCTTTTAAACTGCAGGAACATGTTCATAGCTGATGGAAAGACGGACAGGACATGAACGGTGAACTGAGAGGACTTTATAGTGGCCTGTTACCTAAAATGTCGGTAGGATTCGTTCATGTTAATGGTTGTAACATTACACGACGGGGAACAGTTAAAAAAATGTGGTTAGCCGGTCTGTTACCTATTGTAATCTGGAGGTTTGGTTTGGATATGATTCGGACTTTCGTGTTGTGGTTTTTTTCTGAAATAATTTTTCATTTAGAGTTTAATCAAGGTTCTGTGAAAACCTCTTGTTGAACTGAATGCCTGCTGTTTGGTTCGTCTAGTTGGTCCAATCCTAGTAAGTCAACCTAGTAGATGTGAAGAATGGTGTGGAGGGCAGAGTTTGATGGAAGAGGAGGCATTGCTTTAAATCAGGGGGTATCTAAGCCCAGTACAGCAACTTTTAGGTGCACCGAGCTCCAACACACCTGAATCAAATAAATATCTTGCTAGCAGGCGACTGCAGAGCTGAATGACTCCAGGGAATCCAGCCACCTGATACAGGTCTGCTGCAGAAAGGATTCATCCAAAATCTGAGGGACAGTAGCTCTTGCCCTGGGCAGGGACCCTGCACACCTCTGTTGTAAATTATACACAATCCGTTAACATGCTTCGTGCAGTTTACTCCCTAAAAATGCTTTCTGAACTCTACATATATATTTGGACATGTGGGAGTATCTCCTAACCAAGAAAAATTCCCTCAACATTCCTGCATTTCTTAGGCCCTCATTAAGCTCTTAAGGTTTTGGAGAGGTGCCTCAGAAGACACTGAGAAGACTGCTGCTTCCGCCACTTTGAACCGAGGAATGTCAGAGGAATGCTGCTCATAAAGTCATGACTCCCTCCCTAACGCCCAAACCATCCTTCACTCCCATTTACTTTATGATGGGGAAAGAGTCTGTGTGTGGGAGCTGTGACCTTTAGGTGCTACCACGGGTCTAACGGCCTCCCAGCGCCTCACCTGTGACCTTAGCACCCAATCACCATAATGTAACACACTGCTGCTCAGACTGGCTGTGATTCGAAGCAGATACAGCCTTTTGGCCTTCAAGCAGCTGTTCATCCAGATTTAACATCCAGATTTTCTTTTTATTCCACTTAAGTGCGTTTTACAGAATAAAATGAGGTAGTAATGAAAATAATCCAGCAAACTAATCCATCCATCCATCCATTTTCTCCCACTTATCCATCAGGGTCATGGTGGGGATGTTGCATATCTCCAGCAGTCTATGGTGGAGTACAACCAGGACAGGTCACTATTCTATTATAGATAACAAGTGCAATAACCAGACACTTGTGTTAGATACTAGCCAGTAGGGGATTAAACCCTTGACCTTGGTGTTATTAGCAACACTCTGACCAGCTGAGCTAACCAGATATAGAAATATAATCAATCAGGTATTTTTCTAAAATCTTTAAGGGGTTGGAGAGTCAAAATTATAGTTAAGGTTGGGTTATGATTGAAACGCATAAAATCTGATTATCCAAAAATTAGCTGCCTGTCACAGCGTCTGCAGATTTTTAACAATATGCTGCTTTTACCCCATTCTGCCTGGCTTCAGAGGGTGATGTACAACACAAACAGCAAGCTTATAATACCACGTTACACAAGGAGGTGGAAAACACAGCTTGCAACTTTTTTAAGCCTCTTCATGCCGCCAAGAACTAGAGTATTACTACTAGACTATTCGCACTAGTTTTTCCGCAGTCTGTGGATAGCAACGGTATTTTTGCGCTTAATCACAACATGTCTGTAAATGTTTAAATTCTCGAACCCTCACCAGTTGGAGCTGTTGCTCACTCATCAGGTTTTTCTGCATGTTCTGTCCTTGTAGTTACATATTTTTCTTTTTGCAAGGTGCAGAAGTTCCATCCAGACGGATGCCGCACACAGAGGCATGGAAGTCAAAAGTTACATAATTTGGCCATTCGGACGTGTCAAGCATTAACCTGTGCAAAAATCTGGATTCCATGTCATTTTCTGTCAAGTCTTTACATTGTCAAGACCTCCTGATGGCAAAAGCAAAAAAAAGCTCACTGACTTTAAACGTGGTAGGATTGTTGAGCTGCATAAGCAAGGCATCTCACAACGTGCAATCGCTGCTGAGGTTGGACGCAGTAAGACAGTCATTTTGCATTTTTTAAATGATCCTGAGGGTTATGGAACAATAAAGTCAAGTGGTAGGCCCAAAGAAATTTCACCAGCTCTGAGCCGCAGGATCCAATTGGCTGTCCGCCAAGACAAAGGACGATCCTCTACCCAAATTAAGACCATTACTGGTGCTGACTGCAGCCCAATAACCATCAGACAGCATCTGCGGCTTCAGAAACAAAAAACGTCTTCAAAGGCCACGTCTTCTTCAACGCCACAAAATTGCCCGTTTGGACTTTGCAAGGGTGCACCAAACATGGGACATTGAAAGGTGGAAGAAAGTTGTCTTCTCTGATGAGAAAAAAATTAACCTTGATGGTCCTGATGGCTTCCAACGTTACTCCATGACAAGGAGATCCCACCTGAGATGTTTTCTACACGGCACAGTGGTGGGGGTGCCATCATGATTTGGGGTGCGTTTTCCTTCAATGGAACAATGGAGCTTCAGGTTGTGCAGGGGCAACAAACAGCAGCTGGCTATGTGGAGATGTTGCAGCGGGCATCCCTCATGACTGAAGGCCCTCGTCTGTGTGGTAATGATTGGGTTTTTCAACAGGACAATGCTGCAGTTCACAATGCTCGCCTGACAAAGGAGTTCTTCCAAGAGAATAACATCTCTCTTTTGGATCATCCTGCGTGTTCCCCGGATCTAAACCCAATTGAGAACATTTGGGGGCGGATGGCAAGGGAAGTTTACAAAAATGGACATCAGTTCCAGACAGTGGATGCCCTTCGTGAAGCCATCTTCAACACTTGGAGCAACGTTCCCACTAGCCTCCTGGAAAAACTGGCATCAAGCATGCCTAAACGATTGTTTGAAGTCATCAACAAGAATGGTGGAGCTTCTCATTACCGAGTCCTTTTTTTGACACTTTGATTTCTGTTTTGGGGTTTTTTTGTAGCCTGGGTGCCATTCCAAACTTAGTCCCACCCACAACGTTTGAGGTCGGGAAGTTCGGTCTGACATTGCCCAACAGTAGCGCGAGTATGCTCGCCCAATATCTGGCGGGACAATCAAATTGTCAGGGCGGGCTTTATACGATGATGGACAGATGATCAACAGTAACGTAATCAACCACGTCACCAAAGCGCGCTTGGGATGCCAACAATGGCTGCCGCTGGAGAGTTGAGGTGTTTAGATTCTTCTATTAGGTCTGTTCTAGAAGATATCGACAGCAAATAAATTTTTTTGCAACACCGGCAAAAATCGTTCACGCTCATCTTCTTATTCTAGCCGTGCAACTGCACACTTTGATTTTTTGTTGACAACAACTGTGCCTGGCTTAACATACGTCACGCACCCCGTTGCTCTTATTGGTTGTAGGTCTATCCAATTGAGTGCAGAGGCATTTTTTTTTTCTGGTTCATTTGAAACACGCCCCATAATCACAGCTCTATGGAGCAGTATCAGACTCATATTCTGACTAGTAGGAGTAGGACTACGTCAGGCTAGGTTTTTGAGCTTTGGTCTTAAACTTTTGATCAGCTGAAAAAAATCATGTTTGAGTGTAAATGCAGTTTTCAATTAACTGCCCCCTCAAAAGTTTTTGTCTTATTCTGATTTCTTCTTTTAACATTGTGAAGCTATACTTAGAACCTTCTTTCGATCCAATAGTGCAAAATGCAAATTCTTGCAATTTTTTGACTGGTCTTAAGATTTTGATCAGGAGTGTATCTGCCCAAAAATATCAGCTGGCTGATGTATTGGTATTAAGGCATCACACAGGAAAAAATTGTAAAATAACTTTAAAATAAAGAAATACATTTTTATTTTTAGATTCAGCAGCTGGAGACGCAGGTGATTGATGCAGAGAAGCGAGCGTTTGCTGCAAACCAGCAGGTAGGAATAAAAACAAACTTCCTCCTGGCAGCAGCGTGGAGAAAACTTCTGTCTTGTCATGCGGTTGTATGCAACATTCCCAGGTGAGGTGGATGGAGGAGAAGCTGAAGGCACCAGGAGGACACGTTGGAGACTCTGAAATGCGTTTGTTTCAGCAGTGCAAGGAACTGCGTGCCTCGCTTCAGGACAAGGAGGAGGTGATTTCACAGCTGGAGCAGCAGCTGGAGGAGCAGGTACATCTTTGCCTGTGTTTATCTAAAAGAGAAAGGCAGTGTTAGGAAAATTATTTTATTAAACCTCAGAGACCTGCTTTGATTTCCTTTCAACAGAAACAGAATAGACTCCAAGATGTCAAGGCGGTGGAGGAGAAGGCAGCAAAGATCAAGGAGTGGGTGATGCTCAGGTTATCAGAGGTAAACAGCAAATGGAAAAGATAAAGGAGGGATTCTTTATTAGATGATTAAAAGCTACTCCAATGTTGTCTTCTTTTAGTTTGAAGGGGAGAATGCAGCTTTAAGAGAAACCAACAAGCTGCAGGAAGCTCAGATCTTGGAGCTGCAGAAACAAGTGCAGGGTGAGATGCTCTGATTATTACTGCTGCTGCATGTCCCCTGTTAGATTTTCCACTCCACTGATGTGTGTTTCTCCTCGCAGCCTTTGAACAAAGGAGCCTCAGTGACAGAGGGGTCCTGTGCAAGACCGGGGAGGCGCAGCGTCTCAGCAGCCTGACGTTCGGTTCCTTTCAGGTGAGGGGTAAAAACCCTCAGGTCCTCACTGGGCCGGCACCATCTCGGACCCTCAGCCCACAGGAAGAGACGGACACGTTAACAGAGCCGCCTGGTAAGGCTTTGCAGGGTGGCAAACTCTTAAATGATGGTTTAAGGAGGATATCCCACATCAGTTTTTTATCAATTAGCAACTTAATTTGAAAGTAAAAAACTGCAAATTACTGGATGAAAGACTAGATTTTCCTAACTTACTTGCTTCATTAAAGGTAGTGGACAATCTTCAAGTTCCTTTTGATCATCTAATTTATTGTTTACCCAACCTGCCAATCTCTGTGATGTGCTCAGAAGTGCTCGAACTTTTCCTGCACATTGCACTTCTGTTATACTACAAGCAACATTTTAAACATTTAAACAAACATACAATAGTTGTTATATATCTATAATTGCATGACATACTTATTAATGACTTGCAGAGACATTTTGTCTCGTCTCTAAACAGAAATCCTAGTTCTGAAAAGAGCATGAAATCTATGTTTTTCCATTTTTAATGTTATTATATTAATCTGAAAAGTCAATTAGTGTATTTTTGTTGTCAGGTTATGGTTAATCTATTAACAAAGAATATGTAATATTTGGTAGGAGATCTGTTTTAAAGGGCGACATGTTTATTCCTGAGGTGGTTGATAGGAGCTGATAGGAGATTGAGGTGGTTGGAAACAACTAATCAATGGAACCCTGCCCCTCCCTTCACTGTAGAAATGCTAACTAGTAATAGATGATTTTAATAAAGGTTTTATAGACCAACCCAAAAAATAAACCTTTCCATTTACAACCTACAAAACCTTTTCTGGCCAAGGAATTTCCATCCTTCTTGTCCTAACTAAGATTCCCTAAACAGGGCAACAAAAAAAATATCAAGTATAGCTGGCTCTGATGTCAGTTTTTTAGTTTTATTTGGCAAAACTTTAAACATTTTCGCAGAAATAAATCCAGGTATTGATTCACCTGCGATGAAATAAAATCCATCTTTTATTATTCGCTTTTCTAGGATTCAGAAGTTTGCCATTCAGAGTATGTTGCCATGGTAACTAGCCTTGCTAAGAATGAATCCAGCTTTCTGGTACCCGAGAGTCAGGGTTAAACCTGAGATGTTTGACTAACTCAGTAATCCTGCTTCGTGGTACAGGCCTCTGTATGCAGATTGTTTTATAAACATGCAGAATAATATCCAGGTTTGTGCTGCTGGGGACAGAATCTGCCCTGGTTTCATGTTTTCTGCAAAGTCACTAAGACAATTTTTTCAGGAAAAGTGCTATTTTTCTGTTCTTGCGTCGTATTCCAGTGTTGTATTTCTTTTTGTTTTGGCAGAGAGGAGCATTAAACACACAGCCTCTGTGGACACAGATGGTGACGTGGACAGAACCAACCAAAGTGGGCTTGTTCTTTCACCACGGGAGGAAAGCAATGCTCCAAAGAGAAGCCCTGAAAATGTTTCCCATGGAGGCTCATGTCTGTCCTCCAGCGCAGCTTCAGAGGGTGAAGGAGTGTGTGAGGCCAAGGGGGGTTCAGCCGGCCCTGCAGCGAGAACTACCTAACGGCTTCAGATGACAGCAGCTCTTTGTTTGATGATGACATGCAGCGCGCTGAGCGCCCCGTGTTTGGCCTGGTGGAAATGTCAGAAGCAGTGGGTGAGGAGGTGGGAAGGAGCACGACTAAGCTGGAGGACTGCACCTCCGAGGAGCTCAACAAACGATTTCAGTCTCAGAGACTTGACTCCTCATCGTCCTCCAGTGAGCCGACAACACCAAGCCCCATCCTCACACCGGCCCCCACACCAAAACGCCCCAACGCACCAATGGACAACCCAGCTTCCCCTAAACAGCCTCGCCTGAGGACTCCTGCTGGGGCGGGCTGCTGAGCGTCTCTGTAGTGAAGAAACATCTGAGCCAACCGCCTGTCGGCAGTGAGGCGGCACATAGCCAAACACGCAACGCACTCAGCATGCTCCGCCCCCTCCAGTCACAGGAGAATGACTTGGACCCGCAGCTGGAGGATGACATGGAGACTGAAAGGATTACGCCTCCCGGCTCAGCTTCATCTGAGTCCAGGTCTGAGAGGACCGACTGCGACAGCTCAGGGCCCTGCAAGCCCCCCACCCCTCCATTACACAGACTCCCCTCCTGGGTACGAAAAATAAACTGATTGATTTTTCCTTTAAGTGATCCAGGTCATATTTTTGGTCTCTCAAAGCTACTTATGTCCTTTACAGGAGAGTCGTATCTATGCTGTTGCTAAATCAGGGATCAGACTGTCGGACACGTCCTGTTCGGGTCATCCCAGCAGAGGTTAGAAACCTGGGAATGAAACCTGCTCCGTTCTCTGCTGTTCATCTGACTAACTGTGGTGTTATCTATTCAGACCTCTCCCTCCAGGCTTCCTATCCGGCCTTTGTGATGTACACGTCTCTCATCCATAAAAACATGACCACCCCAGTTTACACAACGCTGAAGGGGGTGAGTTGCTGCAAGTTTGCTGCTGTGATGGGATGTCTAAGCAGAGCCCACTGTAACCTACAGGGTTCTTCTGCAGAAAGCTACTCTGCTGAGCAGCAGTCCGTTCTCAGATGAGTCTTCTAGCTCTGAGGAGTCATCCAGCTCAGGCGAGGAGGACGGCTCCATCTGCAGCTCCCACACTTCCTCAGGCTCCAGGAAGGACAGCAGCCCAGGAAGCCCGCGTTCCCTGAAAAGAGGTACGTTTAGACTTCAGGCAGGAGTTTAACCTTCAGTCCACCACTTCCTGTTAAGAGCTCCAAATGCCATAAAAATTTGGAATTTATTTAAAAATGTATTGAAAATTATTTGAAAATTTATTGAAATCCATCTATGAAGTCAAAGCAGTTTTATCTAATACATACATGTAAAATACTCTGCACAAGCATTTGATGTTCTATGCTTACAGATTCAGATGACCAAATGTGCAGATCTGTGCAGTACAGTTTTGCTTTTTTCACTTGTATCCCACCGTCCCATAAATCAAAGCAATGTCCATCATTTGAATGGATCAAATGAAATAAAATTAAAATATACCATCCATCCATCCATTTTCCATCACGCTTATCCCAAGTGGGGTAGCAAGGGGTGCTGGTGTCTATCTCCAGCTGTCTACGGGCAAGAGGCGGGAGACACCATGGAAAGATCGCCAGTCACCAAAATATAACATTCACAGCCATTTTTTTTCCCAAGTGCAAAGAAAACAGAGCTCCAGTCATTGCTCCAGCGCTATTAGTGTCATAATCAAGCTACACACAATGCTCTTAAATGATGATGGAAACTAAATTTGACAAAGACTTGGCAGCAGTTTTTAACTGGAGGAGGGCAGAGAAGGGTGAATCTCAGAGACATTTTTGTGAAGTTTGCCAAAGTTATTGTTTATGTGATAGAAGGGGAGTGTGAGGTAAAGTAGCACTGTGAGTCACAAAAGAAATGCACAGCTGAAAAAGCTGATGATGACTTCATTGATCTAGTTTTTAACTCTTAAAGAGTTTAACTCTAGATGCTTCGTAAACGTTACTAAGCTGCTAGGAACTAGGAATACCTTCTCAGGTCGGTTCCTCCCTTAAAGTGACAAAAGGTGACACCAGCGCACAGAAACAGGTGCACAGGTGGGAAAGAAAGAATCTACAGAAGCATAAAAAGCAAAGCAGGAGTGGAGGAGGAGCTTACCCATGTGCACTATTAGCAGAATTCTGACATCCATCTTATATCCATTCATCCATCCATCCATCATCCATCCATCCATCCATCCATCCATCCATCCATCCATCCATCCATCCATCCATCCATCCATCCATTTATTTCAAGCAATAAAAGTAAATGTCCTATTTTTCCTTTCATCCCTTTGTTCATTCCTCCTCCACATGTAATTCCTCTGATGTCCTGCAGCCGTCTCTGTGGCCTCCATGACATCGGAGAGTGACTATGCCATCCCTCCCGATGCCTATTCCACTGATACAGAGTGTTCTGAGCCTGAACAGAAGCTGCCCAAGACCTGCAGCTCAGCCAGCGACAACGGCAAGAGTGTGAGCTCCTTGTTTCAGCATCTAGCTAACAGTTATTGTGCCGTCCTCAGTGGTTACTGACCAAAAAAGCACTGAATTCCTTTTTTTTTATTTTAAAATTTATTGATTTATTTTTTTCAGCATTAATTTGTTTAAACTGAAATGTGTCGTCTTTCAGGAGCCGATGGAGAAATCAGGCTATCTGCAGAAAATGGTGAAAACCTGGAAGAAAACCTGGAAGAGACGTTGGTTCGTCCTCAAAGATGGAGAGCTGCTCTACTATAAGTCACCAGTATGTTATATCTCTCGTTAGACTTTGTTTTTTTTTTACTTTTTTATCCACCCAAGGCGTCCTATTTTCTATAGACGTTTTATTCTCTACTCAAGATTTTGATAACAAGAGAGTATCAAAAGAAAAGTAGAGGAAAGCAAAAAAACATCTGTTTTCAAGCATTTCGTTTGTTCACCTAAATTAGATTTGACTATAATCCTTAAGCATTCATTTTGTAAAACTGTTTAAAAAAGCAGGAACATCTTGAAAGAAAGCTGCTGTACGTCTAAATTCAATCTCCTAATCCCTAAAACCATTTGGAAGGTATGAACTAACTGGGTAACTAAATGTGTTCAGGGATTTTATTTAAAGCACATCTGTCAGCTTTAGTTTAAAAATCAAAGGTTAAGAACTTGTGTCCTTTTCAAAACTCTCCTGGCTCTGGAGTTTCCAAAATCCCCAGAACCTCCTCCTCAGTTTATGATATATTATGTTCAAATGTCTTATGATTGCAGGCCAGGATGCTGACTAGCTAGTGGCCAAATACCCCTACAGAAAAACTTTGTCATTTGTTGCTATGCATGCATAACAGCAGTTTGAATAGATAAACTACAGGCAAACAAGAATTTACTGCTCTGAATGTCATTGTGAAACAACTATAGGTAATATCAAATAAAAACCTAAAAAAAGCAGAAACCTTTAGCTTTTTGTTTGCACTCTTTGCACACTGATACCATTTGATAGAAAGAGGCCAGTCCTCTATCAGTGGGAAGCAGACTCCCTTCGCTTAAAAACATAATATTTTCAAGTTTCTTGTATCTCCAACAGAGTGACGTCATCCGGAAACCTCAGGGCCAGATTGAAGTAAATGCTAGCAGCAGCATCACCCGTGGAGACGGCAAACAGGTTCTGCAGGTATTTAACTTATTAAAGCTGTTAACTTGAGATCTCATCTCCATCAGTTATTAATCCAGTGACTCCATCTGGTTTTATGTTTTTTCCTCTAATGGGTAGATCATGACAGGGAAGCATGTTTGTTATCTGAAAGCAGACTCTCCCAACCTGCTGGAGGAGTGGCTGCGGGTCCTCCAGAGTGTCCTCAGGGTGAAAGCTGCAAGTCCTCTGTTCACACAGCCGGATATCCGTCCCGCCATGAAGGGACTGCTCATCAAGGTCTAAAATTAACCATCAACCTCATGCACTGCACAAATTTAAGAAATAGGTTTGAGTGCAAGATTTCATTATTCCATTGGAATAGAACGTTGACGTCTTTTAGGCAAGGCAAGGCAAATGTATTTGTATAGCACAATTCAGTACAAAGACAATGCAAAGCGCTTTACATGATTAAAATACAGGAAAATAAAGCAGAATCAAAGCAAGTAGGAAAAAAAATTTAATTAAAAATGCAAAAACAAAAAAGAACATTGAAAACAGTTGGACTAAAGATGATAAAAATATTTAACTAATGGTGTTTCAGTTGAACTGTTTAACTAGAACAGTCGAAGGCAATCCTAAACAAATGTGTTTTTAGTCTTGATTTAAAGGAACTCAGGCTTTCCACACTTTTACAGTTTTCTGGAAGTTTTTTCCAGATAAGTGGAGCATAGGAACTAAATGCTGCTTCTCCATGTTTAGTTCTGGTTCTAGGTATGCAGAGCAGGCTGGAGCCTGAAGACCTGAGTGGTCTGGAGGGTTGATACACTGATAGCAAGTCTGTGATGTATTTAGGTGCTAAGCCATTCAGAGATTTATAGACTAACAGAAGTATTTTAAAGTCTATTCTCTGAGAAACAGGGAGCCAGTGTAAGGACTGGGGTGATGTGATCTACTTTCTTAGTCTTAGTGAGGACACGGGCAGCAGCGTTCCTGATCAGCTGCAGCTGTCTGATCCACTTTTTAGGCAGACCTGTGACAAACAAGCAATGCAAGGGCATTTTTCCAATCTTTCCACATCTAGAGGCTGAAATGTCTACTCATTTAAAAAAAAATACTAGCTTAACCAAAGTCACATTTGATGGAGAACATCTTCTTTTGACGCTTTTTATGGATTATTGATTAAATTTAGGTGTAGACCTTAAAGGCCTGTACTATGATTTAATCTTCTCAATCTAAGTCTCGACTCTGAGTTTAGTGTCCTTGTTCTAAACGAGTCTTTTGCAGCCTCAAACATGCTTCCTTTAGCTTTCTTTTGACAATAGTTTTCTTCTAGTCAAGCTTCCACAAAGACCAGATTTGTGGAGGTCACCCATAATAGTGTTCTTGCTGGCAGGATGACCCACTTCAGCAGGAAACCTTTCAAGCTCCAGACACTCTAGGCCCTTTCTCTGACCCGGCCTGTCAGAGTAGCTGGAACCATCTGATTGGTCCTCTGTGAAATGTTGAAATGCAGTTATTGTTTGAAAACCTAAACCCTGCTTTAAATTAAATTCACAATTCACTCTCTTAGCACACAAAACCTTTTTAGATTCTTTCAAATAAATATTGTACCCTATAAAAAAAAAAACCTAAGCTTAGCAATTAAGTACTGCTTTGTATAGTGCATTAAATAATGATAAACAAGTAAATCTTTCTTAAAATCATTGTATTCACCCTTAATTTGACAATGGATTTAATATATTTGAACCTAAAATAAGATAATTAGATATGATGATCTTTAAATAAGATAACAGGGTTGATTTTTTTAGGCATACATCTTATTCTATTTGCAAATTGCTCTAATTACCTTCAGACACTTTCTCTAAGAAAAAATTATTTCACTTTTTGCAATGAGACATTAAAGTTGGTGGGTTTATATGACAAAATGTTCCACATGTCAAAATGCAAACAAACTTCTGTTATTACCTGATATTTTTATTTCATTTTTGCTTTTGTCTGAAGTCTCTGCAGCTCTTGAACTGTAGTTCTTCGTTTCTAGGTGAAGCATGGCTATTCAAAGCGGGTCTGGTGTGCTCTAGTTGGCAAAACATTGTACTACTTCCGGAGCCAAGAGGACAAGGTTTGCTTCTGCATCACTGGGGATAAACAAATAGGATATGTAAGGTTATCTTCTGTTGGTTAAACCCAAACCTGACTCTGCTTCTAGTTCCCTCTGGGTCAGATTAAACTGTGGGAGGCCCGGGTCGAGGAGGTGGACCGGTCAAAAGAGTCGGATGGTGAACTGAAAGCATGTGGGCAGAGCCTAGAGGCGGCTCCTTTTACAGTCGCCCTCCATCCTCAGCAGCAAAGCCCGACCTACTTACTAATCGAGTCCCATCATGAAAAGGTTATTGTCTGTAACTCCTTAGAATGAAATAATAATCAAGGTTTTAAGGAATAAGGTGACGGGTTTGTGTTTCACTCATGCCGTTGCTATGTGTTGCATTGTAGGATTCTTGGCTGTACCATCTGTCTGTGGCAGCAGGTACCAGGGTGGGTAAAGTCGGCACAGAGTTTGAACAGCTGGTGGGAAAACTCTTCCAACTGGATGGAGATCTAAGTGAGGAATTAATATAAAAATATAAATGACACTGCTACAATATCCACTCACAGACATGCATATTGTCTTTATTATGAGCTTTTGATTTTTCTTAAACTGTTGGTTTTTTTTTTTTTCCAAGATTGGTTGATAATTCAACCAAAAGCTTTGATTCATTTAAAGGGAGAAATAATCTGATGCTTAGGTTTGCATTTATGGTGAATTTCTCTTTAATCCAGAGTGTCAGTCAGTGGCTGTTTTTTCTTTGGACAGGAGTCCAGAAACAGTTCATCAGATTCCCTCTCTGCTCCTCAGATTCTCCGATCTGGAGGCATCCCACCTTGTGTTTCAGTAAGGAGGCTCTCTCCTCTCCTCTCACCACTCTGCCCTCACAGGCCCTGCAAACAGAGGCAGTCAAACTCTTTAAGGTTCATAAAAATGTCTCATTAAGATCAGTCAGAAAAAAAAAAATAGCTGTTTATGTGTTATTATGTAAACTTGTCCATCATGTGTTCTCAGACCTGCCAGCTTTTCATCAACGTTGCAATCGACGCCCCCGCCATCGACTACCACGTCTCTCTGGCTCAGAGCGCTCTGCAGGTGTGTCTGACCCATCCGGAGCTTCAGAACGAGTTCTTCTGCCAGCTCATGAAGCAGACACGCATGAAGCAGCCGCAAGGCATTGCAGGACCTCTGCAGGTTGGTGCTCTCGCCACTAGATGCCACCAGTAGTGCACTAAATCTGTGACAGGAAGCTAACGTCAGCAAACATTAAATGCTTTCAGTTGTTTTCTGATTTATGCTACTTAGTCAAACTCATCTAATAAGACAGGTTTGTTTTTTCTTTACTAAAAAACAAGGTGTGTAACTCTTTTTCTTAGCATTAGAAACTTTCTCCTCCGTTTTAACTCCTAGTAATCTAGTTATTGGGGACACCAGCAGGGGGCAGAATGCAGTGAAACCCTCTATATGTTGGTTACATTCCAGAGTATGATTGTGTTTCACCAAGCTGAACAATAAAAGCTCACAAACAGGATGATTCATAACAATGTCCTCCTTTGTGTACGTTATGTACCAGTCAGGTCACGCCTTTAGTCAGTTCCGGATTTACAATTTTTTTTTTTCTGTTGTTTTAAAGCTCTTACAGTTTGCTCATGTGACAGGTTAGAGGTGAAGCTCTCTGTGTTTGCGTGTCGTCCTACAGGGTTGGCAGTTTCTGGCCCTCTGCGTCGGATTGTTTCTGCCTCAGCACCCTTTCCTCTGGCTCCTTCAGGTTCACCTGAAGAGACACGGAGACGCCAGGTGGGAAGGCATCAAAGACGCCACATCTCATTCAAAGATTTCTTTCAAAGTCAAACATCTTATCATCAATTGTTTTTAGTCCAGAAGCTGTTTTAATAGTGTTTTAATTCTCCCATTAAAACCCCAAAACTGAGGCCAAGTTTTATCTGTCTAGCTGTGATTGGTTGTTTATGTTAAGCTTAATCCTGAGTCCTGGGTTTTTCCTGGTTATACCTTATTTTTATCTGCGGAGGAGCAGGGTGGGTCTTCCTCCATACCTCAGTGTTGACACATCTGAATGTCCTTATCTATAGCTATCCATCCTGGCATCTGCAGTAGTTTTAAAAAAGTCGTAGAAGAATTTTAAAAATTCTCCTTAGATCTTCAATAAGTTTGACTTTTTTTAGTCTTTAGGGAAGCTTTAGTCAATCGTAATTGTTAGTCAGATGTTATTAGACTCATAATTTGTGAAGCTAAAGACTTTCTAAAGCTTTAATCACCACTCTATAAAAGAATCGGCTAAATTTAACTTTATTGTTGAGTGGAGTACCTGTTGAATAATGATATAATGATATTCAGGCCAATTATAATGTAAATTTTTTACCTGACTAGTTCTGTAAAAATTGGAAGTTACAGATTAGAGCCAAGTTCCACATGATACATTATCATACATTGTAATCCTTTTTCTGGTTGAACTTCTGTTTTAGTTTAGTTTATCTTCCCTTTAATGGTTTACGGGAGCAATACAGCAACATTTGGTTCTTGAATGGTTCCGCTCTGCTTTAACACGCACTAATCGTCCACGCATATTCCTTTATACTTTCAGTTTGATTCTCTTTTTAGACTCTTTTCTCCTCCAGGATGCAATAGTTGCACAAAGACTAAGACCAATTGTTATTGAGGTTTTACAATTACCTCTCCAACAAAAACAGTTTAAAGATCACAAAACAGGGTTAAATCGGTTTTCATAACAATAATAATTGAACTTTATTGATCTCACATTGGAGAAATTTACCTCTGCATTTAACCCATCCCCTTGGGGAGCAGTGGGCTGCCATTGTGGGGCGCCCGGGGAGCAGTGTGCGGTTAAGGGTCTGTGGGACTGGGGCTCGAACCCAGAACTTCAGGATTCCAAGCTCTATGCCTTAACCACTAGGCCGCCACTCCCCCAAAACACCCACCCATGAGTCTCTGTCAGTCCTGTCAGATCACATCAGAGCAATCTGCATTTGGAGCGCTGATGCTGTTAAGCTGAATCCTGCCCAGACTCGCTGGCTCCCCTTTTCACCAGTGCTTAGGTAAAATCTTTCTCAGAATGACATTCTGAGAGTTTCTCAGAAGTTCCTGAAGCATATGAAATTAAAAGTTATTGCATGTCTTTCTGTTTTTTCTCCTCTTGATGCAGAAGCCCAGTTTGTATACCCAAATGGTTGAAATGATTTCCTAATTTATGTTGTTTTCGTTTCTCCTCTGTAATTGAGGAAATACTATCAGCCCATTAACTCAGAGTTCTGATGACAGAGGGTTTATGTTCCAGTGGATAATGTGAGTCAATATGCAAATATCGGTCTGTGTTAGTTTCGGTTTCCAGTAAATCGCAGCATTAAGTCTCCCATTGTGCTCAATGTGCACAGCCCAGTCCAGACAGGGGGACATGTACTTCTGGGCGTCCTCCTCTTCCTTGTACGGTATATATTCATCATAATTTGTGAAAATTTGTGAAACTGGGGAGCCTATTGTTTACTGCATTTTGACTCACATTATCCACTGGAACATAAACCTTCTGTTATCAGAACTCTATATTTTCTATTTCTTTCCCTCTCTGCTAATTAAGCTCACTCCTATTTCTTTCTCCATATTTGGAGGAGACATTCATATCCCCCCTTAATGGAAAAACATAGTTTTTCCATTAAGGGGGGGTTGATGTTGCTCTGATCCACCTGCAGCTCTAGTTGGTTGCAGCTATGCATCGGTGCAGCAATGATGCAGCATTTTATTGGGAAGAAAAAAAACGCTCTGACTATTGACAGATCAGCCGTTTGGGAATCTTTTCTGAACTTGAACACTCTGCCCCGCCTTCAAAGGGTTTCTCTCTGCAGAAAAGGAGCACATGTATTAAGCTATATACAGGCGTATATAATTACGATAATATTCACTGTGACCAGCAGTTAGCTGGTCTGGACAGAACCCCAGGAAGAGGGGGTCTAGATGTCGCTTAAAATATTGATTAAAAAAGGACCATATCCACCTGCTTAAATAGCATTGACAACCTCCAGCATACCGGCCCCCACCAATAACTTTTCACATTGAGTTCATTTATTCAGGTCTTCACTTTTGATTATATTTGTTTCAGTGGAGAGAGATTTGGTTTCTCTTATAACCAATGGATTAACTGCTTGCTATAGATTATGAAGGGTTCACCTTTTTGTGTTCCTTTTCCCAGGACCGAGGTGGGAAAATATGCCATCTACTGCCAGCGCTCTTTAGAACGCACCCAGCAGAAGGGTGAGAGGCAGGCCCGGCCGTCCCGTATGGAGATTCTGTCGATCCTCTTGAGGAATCCGTATCACCACTCTCTGCCTTTCAGTGTCCCCGTGCACTTTCTCAACAACACATATCAAGTAAGAGTAATAACACCCTCTTTAATTTTGTGGGCTTTACCACAAAGCATCAAGATTTACATCACTGCTTCCTGTGAATCTCTAAGGCATGACTTTAGCATCTTGTCACAGATCTACAACTTTCAGGAGTAAGAGTATTCATGAGGATAAAACTCAAACTGTGATGGTAAAATGAAAGTAAACGTTTATTCAGTATGAAGGTTTCTTGCTATTTCTATTGATATTCTATTGATATTCAAATAAATCCAAATACTATATGGGGGCACTGGTGTTTATGTGAATACTAAAGTAGAAAGACATCTGCAACAAACTTAGATAACCAGCTGTTCCTGCTCAACAGTGCTGCAAAAAGTTTAAGGTCGCTTTCAAATTATATACTGTAGAAAAGAGCTAATTCACCATAATGCCAGACTGTGTTTAGAACAAATGAAACCAGCCTGAGATCTCCTTGTATTTCTGCACATGGCTACATTTATCATGTTAGAAACTGTTAATGAGAAAATAAGAGAAAGACAGAAAAGATAATGCTGATTTTTATAAAGGTTTAAGGGGAAAGGTTCTTGTCTTCCAGCTGAATGAATTATTAAACTTCTAGATCCTGTATGATAAATAAATCACCACTATGCTTTGATTAATGTGTGTAGATAAAATCAGGAAATGTAGCTCCTGATGCCAACTGTCAAGCAAAGTGGTGGAAGAATGATGATTTGGGCACCTTGAGGTCAAAGTTGAACATGATCTTTGCCAAATGATAATGTATTTGGGGGTCAATCCTGAGGCCAGCTGTCTGTCAGTGAAAGACTTTAAGAGAAATGCACTTGCAGCACGTCTGCAAGTGCATAAATGCATAGGCTAACACAGAACATATGTTTACCCTAGGCCGATATTTTTGGCTAATATTGGCGCTTTTTGTTAACCTTACTCCACCAGATGGATTTGATCCGCATATCCATCTTGAAACCTTCCATTGAAGTAATTTTGGGAAGGGGCTAAAATACTGGTTAGCTGATTGGCCTATGTTGGTGATAGAGGGGCCAAATAAACCAATCAGATCAACGAAGCATATGACGTACTAACAGAGCGACGACGAAAACACAACCACAAGCCAGGCTACTCTTGCCGAAACCAGTTCGGAGAAGAGCAAAAACATCCAGAGCAGTGTTTTGCTCTTCTTTCAGTGAACAAATACTCTGTAAAGCCGATAAAACTTGCTCGATAGCCACGTTAACGCTAGTTTCATCAGCTGAAGCCACCATGTTCTTTAGACTGAACTGTCGCGCTTCTCGTTGCGTTATACCTCAACCCGCCTCAAAGCCAACGCTGATTGGATGTTCGTTTGGTGTACGGCTCCAAATTGTCTTTAACGGAGAGTCTCCAGACTGATCTGCGAGTGAAACCTTGAAAGCTCGCAAGATCAGGATGGTCTCACGAGGATAGCTTTTTGTTACTTTTCCCCTGTATATGTATCAACCTATATTAAGCCGGATCGCTGGATGATTCATAAGTTCATTCAGAAGTGATGCCTTGAGATCCAGAAGAGAGCATTGGTGCTCCTTTCATTTGCTTTCAAATCCATTGTTTTGTTGGATCTGTCAATAAATGTTCCTTTTCTGCTTAAATTGCAGCCCAGTTTAACATATTCTAGCATTGTTTGCTTTTTATAATACAAATGGAGGAATAAGAAGCAATATTGGAAAAATGCTTTTCAAATGTTTTCTACTAACCCAGTTGTGTACAATGTCCTTCGATGTGCCAGATCAAATAAATGAACTCAGAAAAAATGGAACTGATTTATGAACCATTTTAGCCTCGATAAATGTAGGATACTGCCTGGTGGCCGGGCTTTTACCCATGGGGCCCGGCCGGGCTCAGCCCGAAGAGGAAACATGGGTCCCCCCTTACATGGGCCCACCACCCGTGAGAGGGGCCATAGGGGTCGGGTGCAATGTGTGTAGGGTGGCAGCCGGGGGAGGGGACCCTGGCGATCCGATCCTCGGCTGCAGAAGCTGGCTCTTGGGACGTGGAATGTCACCTCGCTGGTGGGGAAGGAACCGGAGCTAGTGTGTGAGGCTGAGAGGTTCCGGCTAGAAATAGTCGGTCTCCCCTCAACGCATGGTTCTGGTTCTGGAACCAGTCTCCTTGAGAGGGGCTGGACATACTTCCACTCTGGAGTTGCCCTCGGTGAGAGGCGCCGGGCAGGAGTGGGCATACTTGTTGCCCCCCATCTCGGCGCCTGTACGTTGGGGTTTATCCCGGTGAACGAGAGGGTAGCCTCCCTCCGCCTACGGGTGGGGGGACGGGTTCTGACTGTTGTCTGTGCTTACGGGCCGAACAACAGTTCAGATTACCCACCCTTTTTGGAGTCCTTAGAGGGGGTACTGGAGGGTGCCCCTCCTAGGGACTCCCTTGTTCTGCTGGGAGACTTCAACGCTCACGTGGGCAATGACAGTGAGACCTGGAGGGGCGTGGTTGGGAGGAATGGCCGCCCTGATCTGAACTCGAGTGGTGTTCTGTTGTTGGACTTCTGTGCTCGTCATGGATTGTCCATAACGAACACCATGTTCAAGCATAAGGGTGTCCATATGTGCACATGGCACCAGGACACCCTAGGCCGCAGTTCGATGATCGACTTTGTCATCGTTTCATCGGACTTGCGGCCGTATGTCTTGGACACTCGGGTGAGGGAGGTGCTGAGCTTTCCACTGACCACTACCTGGTGGTGAGTTGGCTCCGGTGGTGGGGGAGGATGCCGGTCAGACCTGGCAGGCCCAAACGTGTTGTGAGGGTCTGCTGGGAACGTCTGGCGGAGTCCCCTGTGAGGCGGAGCTTTAACTCCCATCTCCGGCAGAACTTCGAACACATCCTGGGGGAGGTGGGGGACATTGAGTCCGAGTGGACCATGTTCCGTTCCTCCATTGTCGAGGCGGCTTATCTGAGCTGCGGCCGCAAGGTTGTCGGTGCCTGTCGTGTCGGCAACCCTCGAACCCGTTGGTGGACACCTCCGGTGAGGGATGCTGTCAGGTTGAAGAAGGAGGCCTATCGGGCCTTTTTGGCCTGTGGGACTCCGGAATCAGCTGATGGGTACCGGCGGGCGAAGCGGCATGCGGCTCGGATGGTTGCTGAGGCAAAAACTCGGGTGTGGGAGGAGTTTGGAGAGGCCATGGAGAAAGACTTCCGCACGGCTCCGAAGCGATTCTGGTCCGCCATCCGGCGTATCAGGAGGGGGAAGCGGTGCAGCACCAACACTGTTTATAGTGGGGATGGTGTGCTGCTGACCTCAACTCGGGACGTTGTGGGTCGGTGGGCGGAATACTTCGAAGACCTTCTCAATCCCACCAACATGTCTTCCATTGAGGAACCTGGGCCTGGGGACTCTGGACTGGGCTCTCCAATCTCTGTGGGCGAGGTCGCCGAGGTGGTTAAAAAGCTCCTCGGTGGCAGGGCCCCGGGGGTGGATGAGATCCGCCCGGAGTTCCTCAAGGTCCTGGATGTTGTGGGGTTGTGTTGGCTGACACGACTCTTCAACATTGCATGGACATCGGGGGCAGTCCCCCTGGATTGGCAGACTGGGGTGGTGGTCCCCCTATTCAAAAAGGGGGACCGGAGGGTGTGCTCCAATTACAGGGGAGTCACACTCTTAAGCCTCCCCGGCAAGGTCTGCTGGAGAGGAGGGTCCGGCGGATAGTCGAACCTCGGATTCAGGAAGAGCAGTGTGGTTTCCGTCCTGGTCGTGGAACACTGGACCAGCTCTACACCCTCAGCAGGGTCCTGGAGGGTGCATGGGAGTTCACCCAACCAGTCTACATGTGCTTTGTGGACTTGGAGAAGGCGTTCGACCGTGTCCCTCGGGGGGCCCTGTGGGGGGTTCTCCGGGAGTACGAGGTGCCGGGCCCTTTGATACGGGCTGTCAGGTCCCTGTATGACCGGTGTCAGAGTCTGGTCCGCATTGCCGGCAGTAAGTCGGGCTCGTTTCCAGTGAGAGTTGGACTCCGCCAGGGCTGCCCTTTGTCACCGATTCTGTTCATTACCTTCATGGACAGAATTTCTAGGCGCAGCCAAGGTGTTGAGGGGATCCGTTTTGGTGGCCTTAGGATTGCATCTCTGCTTTTTGCAGATGATGTGGTCCTATTGGCTTCATCAGGTCGTGATCTGCAGCTCTCGCTGGATCGGTTCGCAGCCGAGTGTGAAGCGGCCGGGATGGGGATCAGTGCCTCCAAATCCGAGGCCATGGTCTTGAGCCGGAAAAGGGTAGAATGCCTTCTCCGGGTCAGGGGGGGTGTCCTGCCCCAAGTGGAGGAGTTTAAGTATCTTGGGATCTTGTTCACGAATGAGGGAAGAAGGGAGCGGGAGATCGACAGGCGGATTGGTGCAGCGTCTGCCGTGAAGCTGGCGCTGTACCGGTCCGTCGTGGTGAAGAGAGAGCTGAGTCAAAAAGTGAAGCTCTCGATTTACCGGTCGATCTACGTTCCTACCCTCATCTATGGTCATGAACTCTGGGTCATGACCGAAAGAACGAGATCGCGGATACAAGCGGCCGAAATGGGTTTCCTCCATAGGGTGGCTGGGCTCTCCCTTAGAGATAGGGTGAGAAGCTCGGTCATCCGGGAGGGACTCGGAGTAGAGCCGCTGCTCCTCCACGTCGAGAGGAGCCAGTTGAGGGTGCTTGGGCATCTGTTTAGGATGCCTCCTTGACGCCTCCCTGGTGAGGTGTTCCGGGCACGTCCCACCGGGGGGAGGCCCCGGGGAAGACCCAGGACACGCTGGAGAGACTATGTTTCTCGGCTGGCCTGGGAACGCCTTGGGGTTCCTCCTGAAGAGCTGGAAGAAGTGGCTGGGGAGAGGGAAGTCTGGGCCTCCCTTCTTAAGCTGCTGCCCCCGCGACCCGACCCCGGATAAGCGGAGGAAGATGGATGGATGGATGGATGGATAAATGTAGGATACCTATTTAAGAATTAATGAATCTGCAGGCCTGAGATAAACATGAAACTGCCTCTGTAGAGTATGGTAGTCAGTGCAGGTGCTAATTCTGCTACATCAGAAAAAGTGGAATTGTGGAATTTTGGGGTTTTATTATTATAATAATTTTTTTGAGTTTTCAATTTCTCATTTTGTTAGAAATTATATTGAGAAGGAAGCAAACTAAAACAAGCGCACCCTTTCTGACGCTGTCGTTCTATTGGCTGGAAAGGTTGCTAGTCGATGATCCGACTCCGGTCAGAGAGAGAGCGAAAAGAATCTGCATGAAGAGACAGCAGGTTTGTGAGGATATCTCTGATTTTAGCAGGGACTGGTCAGCGAGCGACAAGAAGGGAGTAAACGAGAGTAGAAAATATGTGTGCAAGAAGCATTAGATCTAAGAGGAGAAACAAAGATTTGGTGGAGAAGATAATATATTTGAGAGAAAGCAGAAGTTTTGAATGTGATCATTACTCTTTTTGAGTGCAATTGAGGAAATACAGCTCTCAAATTGAAAATGTGGGCTGTTGGTGTTTGGCAGGAAAATCCTCCACATATCAGGGATCTGCAAGACAGATGACTGAAAAAAATTGGCATCGGCCTTTGGAAGCCCTTATCGGTCAATCTCAAAAGTTTATTTATACAGCTGCAATCGACCGTTTTAAAATCTTAATGATGCAGAAGTGACTTGAAATTAAACATAAAATTGACACTCCTGATTAAGTGTGCATCAAATTCTGTATTTGCACTTTGGTGTGCTCTATTTGTAATTTGTGTGTTTTTAGATTGTAACTGCTGCACATTTATGCCTGTGCATTGCATTTTAACTTCTTTTCCACCACGAATCCTGAAAAAACCCCAGCAAATATTGCAACATGAGTGAGAAGGACAAGAATCAAGGTGTGGCAAAAGCCCAGTGTAAGTCTAGCACTCCATCTGATTGATGTTTCAAGGTTAAAACCTCATTAAAGTGTTTCAGAGCCAAATATCTGCACTTTTCAATAAACAGAAGCAATATTTCAAAGATTGGATCAAATTACATCAACAGCAACAAACCCCAAAACTGCTTTGAAATAACCATTGCATTCTGTCTCCTTTAAGGTTTGCTAAAAACTCTTTTTACAAGAAAAGGTTTTAAATATGGTTATGCAGCAAAAATGAAGTTTTCAGGATGAATGAAGTTTTGTTGTGACATTTCTCTGCCTTCTGTTGCGTCTGTCTAGGTGGTTAGCTTTGATGCTTCAACAACTGTAGACGAGTTCCAGACTCGCCTCAATCAGGACACAGGCATGAGAAAAACCGGACTTTCCGGCTTCAGCCTTTACACCGACGATCCCACCGGGCGAGAACTCGAACACTGCTTGTCAGGAAGCATAAAGGTGCGTCTTTCATTCCCATGCCGAGTCTTTGTCTACCTCCCTACATGCTGCATAACTCTGTGCTATGTCTCCATATTTATTTATTTATTTTTTTTGGCAGATTTGTGACATTCTCTCCAAATGGGAGCAGGCCTCTAAAGAGCAGCACTCTGGAAAGTCTGAAAACACTAGAACCATCCGCCTTACCTACAAGAACAGGTGGAGGATGGTGCTGGATTGTTTCTGCCATGTATTCTTCCTCAGGTCTTATGTAAATGGTCGGATTCCCTCACAACACAGAGGTTGTGGAATGAAAGGAGACCATGATGATGTTCAAAATTTTCCCCATTTAATACAAAATTCATGTGAAAAACATGCATATTTGTTCATTGCGGAAATGTAGAAGATAAAGCAACATCCTGTTTGCATGCACATAAAAAAACCTTGAACTAAAACTGAAATATGTGGTTAAAATTTCAACATGTCAAAAATTCCCTTTCATCTTTTTTGTACATTTGTCCCTTCATCTGTTTCATTCTCTATATTTTCCCTCCCCAGGCTGTACTTCTCTCACCAGATGAGAGGAGAGTCAGAGAGGGAGAGGATGCTGCTAACTTATCAGACCAACGAAGCCATTGTAGCCGGACACTTTCCTGTCAACAAGGAGCTGGCTCTGGAAATGGCAGCTCTCCTCGCCCAGGTCCGTTGATCCGCTTCTTAAAACGGCCGTCCTTATAGCAGGCATGTTCTGCATGAGACAGGCTGTTAAAATATTTAAAACTAACACTTTATTTTATTTAAAATAAAGAGTTTATGATGCCATGCTGTCTAGCATTTCTCTCAGGGCTCTTTGAAAGTGCAGAAGGCCCACAGCCTTTTCCATATATTAATCCTTTGTTTCAGAGACTTACTCATCAAGTCTTGTCTTGCAAATATCCACAGCTTTTGAACCTTGAATATAGTCCTTTATCTGCAGCTCTAATGTTAGTGTTTTCTTGTATATAATTCTTATTTTAGAAAGATCAGCTTACACCGTTCTTTCTGGTTTGATTGATGTCATGCATGTCATGTCAATGATGCTTCTTGGAGGAAGAAAAGAAAGAAAAGAAAAACATTTATTTTGTAATTGGTGCTCAAACTTATAAAAAAAATAATTGCTTTATTTTAGATAAAGTATAACGTTTTTTATTTTTTAGATAGGTTTAGGAAAATAAATGTTTTCAAAAACATTTATTTTCAGGGATTTATTTGATTTTGCATCATTTTATTTGAAGGCTTTTTACTCATCTTTATCTTGGAAGCTTTGAAGGGAAGAAAAATTGAGAACCTGCTGCACGCTTGTTCTGTTTTTTCAGGTGGAGTTTGGAGATTTTGACCGCTCCTTCTTTGCTTCTGGCTCAGCCCAAAGTAAATCCAATCAGACTTTAAAGCAAGTGTTGGACAGAGTCTACCCTAAGCACTACCGCAGGACCTCGTCTGAGGAACAACAGAGGTAAAAACACTAAAACATTGTTTACGTTGTAAACTTTTTCTCTCGCATAAGCACAAGCATTTTGGTTTAGCTGCTAAAACCCTCCAGTCCCAACAGATCTGTGATTATTTTCTTATGTTGGTATTTGCTCTGCAATAACCTTCTGGAAATAGGTAAAATTTTCTTTAAATAAGTGTATTTACCCTTAATTTGATGGAAAACAAGATGATAATCCAATGGAATTAGCATTTTTACTCTTAAAACAAGATTAATTAAACATTATGCAGTTGTTTTTTACATATTTTGAATGTAAATTGCATCATTTCATTAGCAAAGTGTCCCACTTACCTGCTTAATTTCAGAAACAAATTCACTTATTTTAAGAAAACAATGATTCACCTTGATTTGCATTTTTTGCCATGTGTAATGTTTCCTCTCCTTCCAGACAACTGATGCAGTGTCTATCTGCCCGCTGGGCCTCCCTCAAGGGACGAAGTTCATCTGAGTGTGTTAGGATCTACCTGACTGTTGCCAGAAAATGGCCCTTTTTTGGTGCTAAACTCTTCCAGGCCGAGGTGAGGGGGGGTTGCCAATAAACATTCAGTGTGGACCTAGGAACCTTTGGCAAGTTCTTGTTTCCATTACAACTTGTTCCTAATGGTGCACTGCTGCACTTTATTGAATGGAAATGTTCTGAAAGCTGTAAAAAACGAAATTTCGTTTTCTTTTCACCCTATACAAAATGACAAAAAAAGGTTGTCTTAGTCTGTATGTTATCATTGACTGCTTTAAATGTTACAAAGTTGAAATATACTATTTAAAACAAACATAAAAACTAGAACTTTAAACGTGCTAAATTAGATCTATAGACTGAGTGTTTGCTGATGCCATTTTCTTTAGCCCCGATACCAATACCTGGCTGTGCAGTATCTGCAAATACTGATACCATCTATTTGAAATTGATATGTGTGTATATATTAAGAACTGCATGTTACTTGGATGTAAAATAATTGCCATCATGGCTTTGTCAAGCTGCTGCCTACCTTCGTGAAGCAGGAAAAATACTGATACAAAGTTAATCCAGTAGAACTTGTTATTGCCTACCTGGAATGGGTGACAATAGTTGAATAAACTTTTGGCTCCCAAAATGGTATCGGTGCCCTATTTGTTGGTACTCACCCATACCAATACCACCATACAGATATATCAGAGAATCCACCTGATTGGCTGAGAATGAAGGATGTTGGAATCCTTGGCCTAGTCAAAGTCTGAATGTGGGAGAAACATGTCTTCATGATAAAAGATACATGATTTTATATTTGAAATGCAATAAAAAACAACAACAAACATAAGTAGAAAAAATAAGGAACATCCATCCATTCATCAATCATCCATCCATCCATCAATCATCCATCAATCATCCATCTGTCATCCAATCATCCATCAATCATCCATCCATCAATCATCCATCAATCATCCATCCATCATTCATCCATCCATCAATCATCCATCCATCATTCATCCATCCATCCATCAATCATCCATCCATCAGTCATCCATCCATCAATCATCCATCCATCAGTCATCCATCCATCCACCAATCATCCATCCATCAGTCATCCATCCATCCATCAATCATCCATCCATCAGTCATCCATCCATCCATCAATCATCCATCCATCCGTCCGTAATCCATCATTCATCCATCAATCATCCATCCATCCGTCATCCATCCATCCGTCCGTAATCCATCATCCATCCATCAATCATCCATCCGTCCATAATCCATCATCCATCCATCCATTAATCATCCATCCGTCCGTCATCCATCCATCCGTCCGTAATCCATCATCCATCCATCAATCATCCATCCGTCCATAATCCATCATTCATCCATCAATCATCCATCCATCCATCATTCATCCATCAATCATCCATCCATCCATCCGTCATCCATCCATCCATCCGTCCGTAATCCATCATCCATCCATCAATCATCCATCCGTCCATAATCCATCATTCATCCATCAATCATCCATCCATCCATCCGTCATCCATCCATCCGTCCGTAATCCATCATCCATCCATCAATCATCCATCCGTCCATAATCCATCATCCATCCATCAATCATCCATCCGTCCATAATCCATCATCCATCCATCAATCATCCATCCATCCATCTGTCATCCATCCATCCATCAATCATCCATCTGTCATCCATCCATCCATCAATCATCCATCCATCCGTCCGTAATCCATCATCCATCCATCAATCATCCATCCGTCCATAATCCATCATTCATCCATCAATCATCCATCCATCCATCCGTCATCCATCCATCCGTCCGTAATCCATCATTCATCCATCAATCATCCATCCATCCATCCATCATCCATCCATCCGTCCGTAATCCATCATCCATCCATCAATCATCCATCCGTCCATAATCCATCATCCATCCATCAATCATCCATCCATCCATCCGTCATCCATCCATCCATCAATCATCCATCCGTCCATAATCCATCATCCATCCATCAATCATCCATCCATCCATCCATCCATCCGTCATCCATCCATCAATCATCCATCCGTCCATAATCCATCATTCATCCATCAATCATCCATCTGTCATCCATCCATCCAATCCTTAAAATTCCTGCATTCATCGAGTCTAGTTCACACTTTTCTTCTTAAATCCTGTGTTGTTATTGATATAGCTTTTAGTTTTGTTTGTGTAATAAATATAGAGAGAAGAGGACATTTCTGAGCTTAGGATAACAGATGGCAAAGCAAAGGTCATATTGTAACCGTGAAACAGTTGGTTTTCTGTTCTCCTGTGTTTTTGACCAAAAGCAATGGATAAAAAACTAACAGGTCATAGCCTTATTGGTTAATGAAATTTTTTTTGTGTTAAATACACAAATAGCTGGTCCAGTTTAATTCAAATTACTTGGAAATGAAATTGTAAACATTCCCATTTCCATCCTCTTTCAGACTACAACTCCCTCCCCTGAGTCGGGTCGGAGTGTTTGGCTGGCGGTGCACGAGGATGGGATCAGTGTTCTGGAGCACAACTCCATTGTAAGGAGTTTCTTCTTCTGGAGCAGACATTCAGTCATAGATGCTTTACCTTCATGTCCTCGTAGAAATACAATACCCTGGAGTGCTCTAAGGTTTTAATCTGTGTGTTAGAAACTGATGGTGACCCATCCTTACAAGAACCTGATGACTTTTGGAGGCTGTAAGGAGGACTTCATGCTGGTGGTGGGCCACAGCATCGGTACAAACACCAGCAAAGACAAACCTGCAGAGAAGCATCTGTTTGCCATGGAGGCGTCTAAAGTGAGTCTGAGATGAAGTTGTGTCCAATTCCTACTATGGTTACTCCTCACAGGGATGTATGGTGCATTAATCTATACTTTACAGGGATTTAAGCCCAATTTACACTACCTTTTTGAAACCATGCTAAGATCAGTCCAAGCACGGTAATGGAGATAACTGTTGAGTGTAAATGACATGCCCGACACAACCGAACCGCGCTAAACGGGCTCTATTTCATCAGTAGGGCTCGGCGCAGTTCAGTTCTGGCTCAGTTCTCAGACAAACAAAGAGCGCACAAGCAGGCCGCGTCATCTCCTTAAAGTCAGCCTCCGTAATCATGACATTTCAGACATTCATAAAAATTCTAGCTTCCCTACCGTGCCACACGCTTTCCAGCGTCTGTAAGCCCTGATTAGAGTATTGTTTGTCGTATCCACTTCCCAAAAGCTGACACTGTGAAGTAAAATCACCCAAAGCCTTCTTTGTGTGACTCTCCGCAAACAACGAAATATCACAATTATAACCAAACTTATGCCATGTGGTTTACTTGTTTCCCTTTAGAGAGCAGTAGTACTGTAGATCGCCACTAGTAGGTGAGGAACCGTGCTAACGGGATGTGTACATATACGGTCATAAGGCACTGAGCTCGGCACGGTTAACTGATCCAAACTCGGTCCGAACTCGGCACGGATCGGTTACAGAGGGTAGTGTAAATGGGGCTTTATTTGACTAATTTTACCACATGAAACTGTCTGTTTCACAAGAACTGAAATCTGAAACGTGGTCTTTGTTGAATTGTCCCATCTGAGGTACTGTAGTCGGAACAAAAATGAAAAATAGGTCAGATGTGTCGAATGTTAGCTGTCAGCACATACAGCTCACATGTGTGTTTTGTTTCATGGGACAGATCAGGGAAATCACCCTCCTCATCTCCAGTTACATCAACAGTGCTCATCAGCAGAAGGCCGCGGCCCACCACCTGTCTGCCCCGGCTCTGATGGTGGCCCAGCCCATCAGCCTGAAGAGCAAGGAGCTCAGGAGCAAATCCCCACCTGCGCTGGGACGCCCAAGCAAGGCCCCTACGCTGCTCTGATGGACCCCAAATAAACAGCTTATATATCGAAAAAAGTTTTATTTGCAGCTGTGACTCCATTTGTCTCAGTTATTTTTGCAAATAGCTTCGGTTGCTGCTGAGAATGACAGAAAGAGTAATCTGTGTGGTGTCCTTTGATATTACAGGCTGTGTTCATGGATAAAAGGCGAGAAGAGGGTTTAACAACTGATCTGAGTGTATGTTGGCATGTGAGATAGGAGGGTACTGCTATTTATTAATGTTTTTCCTAAACCTCTCATCAGTCTCTGTTGCGGGGCTGTTTTCCCTCAGTCAAATTTGTCTAGATGTCAATTTTTGCATCTTTTTTTTTAATACAGCTAAAATGTAAAACAGAAAATCTAATATTTGAATTATTGCATCAAAAATCGTTGTCATGAATAAAATTGATCATTTTCATGTCTCAACTAATCTGAAGAGTACATTCTCTGCCTCATTCAGAGCTCTTATGTGCTTTAAAATAACAATTTGAATCTGTCTGTTAGAAAATTGTATTTGTTTTGATTCTTTAAGACCAATCGGTTCTCTTAAGTAAGATAAAAACAATCATGTTTTAATCCAAGCTGTAAGAGTAAAGTTTCCGTCAGGCCGAAACAAGTCATACTTCAAAAGAACACAAGTTCAAAACCACTAATTAATGTTCTGAATCAAGAACAAGCTGCAGGAAGTAAATGTCATTTTATTGTCTCGGCTCAGAGTCAGAACACTATTCTCCTTTCTGCTAAGCTAAGGTCTTGCTTTGTCCCCACTCAATAAACTCACTGTCCAGTTTTCAGCTCAATAGATGAAGTGATAACACACCTGCTGGTCTCAGGGTGACTCTGAGGAGGTTCAGTCTGGGTTTTTCCATCCAGTTCTGGTTCCAGAGGTTTCTTTGATTCCTCCCAATAAATGTGTAAACCTGACTGTCAACAGTACATGTCACCTTGCTAAATAAGTTGGAATTTATATTTACTCGAAGTTTGTAAATAAAAACACCAAACAGCTGAGGTGAAGTCTTTAGAAAGACTTGGTGGATCAAAGTGTTATAGCTTGTGGCCTTCTTCAAGATTCAGGTCTAACTGAGCCGAAACACGTTGATCTGCTGATGTAGCGGGTCCCTAATACTTCAGTTGTTGTCTTTACATTAACAATCCCCTGGTAGAGTTGTGCCAGAAACCTTTGGATCTCTGCAAAGTATCAAAAAATATCTGTTGAATAAAATTATAATATATCAGAATCAGAAAAAATTTAATAATCCAAGAGGGAAATACTTTTGTTACACACTCCAGTTACAGTTTATATATATATATATATATATATATATATATATATATATATATATATATATATATATATATATATATATATATATATATATATATATACACTCACCGGCCACTTTATTAGGTACCCCATGCTAGTAACGGGTTGGACCCCCTTTTGCCTTCAGAACTGCCTCAATTCTTCGTGGCATAGATTCAACAAGGTGCTGGAAGCATTCCTCAGGGAGTTTGGTCCATATTGACATGATGGCATCACAGAGTTGCCGCAGATTTGTCGGCTGCACATCCATGATGCGAATCTCCCGTTCCACCACATCCCAAAGATGCTCTATTGGATTGAGATCTGGTGACTGTGGAGGCCATTTGAGTACAGTGAACTCATTGTCATATTCAAGAAACCAGTCTGAGATGATTCCAGCTTTATGACATGGCGCATTATCCTGCTGAAAGTAGCCATCAGAAGTTGGGTACATTGAGGTCATAAAGGGATGGACATGGTCAGCAACAATACTCAGGTAGGCTGTGGCGTTGCAACGATGCTCAATTGGTACCAAGGGGTCCAAAGAGGGCCAAGAAAATATCCTCACACCGTGACACCACCACCACCAGCCTGAACCGTTGATACAAGGCAGGATGGATCCATGCTTTCATGTTGTAGACGCCAAATTCTGACCCTACCATCCGAATGTCGCAGCAGAAATCGAGACTCATCAAACCAGGCAACGTTTTTCCAATCTTCTATTGTCCAATTTCGATGAGCTTGTGCAAATTGTAGCCTCAGTTTCCTGTTCTTAGCTGAAAGGAGTGGCACCCGGTGTGGTCTTCTGCTGCTGTAGCCCATCTGCCTCAAAGTTCAACGTACTGTGCATTCAGAGATGCTCTTCTGCCCACCCTAGTTGTAACGGGTGGTTATTTGAGTCACTGTTGCCCTTCTATCAGCTCAAACCAGTCTGGCCATTCTCCTCTGACGTCTGGCATCAACAAGGCATTTCCGCCCACAGAACTGCCGCTCACTGGATGTGTTTTTCTTTTTCGGACCATTCTCTGTAAACCCTAGAGATGGTTGTGCGTGAAAATCCCAGCAGATCAGCAGTTTCTGAAATACTCAGACCAGCCCTTGTGGCACCAACAATCATGCCACGTTCAAAGTCACTCAAATCACCTTTCTTCCCCATACTGATGCTCGGTTTGAACTGCAGGAGATTGTCTTGACCATGTCTACATGCCTAAATGCACTCAGTTGCCGCCATGTGATTGGCTGCTTAGAAAATAAGTGTTAACAAGCAGTTGGACAGGTGTACCTAATAAAGTGGCCGGTGAGTGTATATACACATCCAACCACACAATATAATAAAGATTTTAAAAAAATAAATAAAATCCAAATAAAGTGAATATCCAACTAAAGTGATAAATCTAAGTAAAGTGATACGTGACGTGCAAAAACAGTGCATAAATGTCCGTTATTGGGGGGGGGGGGGGGGGGGGGGGTGATTTCCTGTGGCGCTCTGTGGTGCATCTGGGTAGGAGGAGTCTTCTGCTGAAGGAGCTCGTCTGCTGGACCAGTGTGTCGCGGAGAGGATGTGAGTCATTGTCTAAGATGGACTGAAACCTGGACAGCATCCTCCTCTCTTTCACGGTGGTCATATATATTATATAATAATTATCACTGATCAGGCTTGGATCGGTTCTGTTGGGTTTCTCTTATTGTGGGAGCCTTAAGAAAAAGGCAGAGTTAGTCGTACATGAATCAACAATCTATTCCTTTTATGATATCAAATTATAATGTAATTGCTTGGAACAAATGAAAGCAGGCTGAGATGTCCTTGTCAGTCTCTACATGGCTGCATTCAGCATGTTAGAGACTGTTCATGAGAAAATTAGGGAAAGATGTAAAAGATAATGTTAGTTTTTATAAAGGTTGAAGGAGAAAGGCAGCTGTCTCGCAGCCAAATGAATTATTAAACTTCTAGATACAACTATGCTTAGCGTAATATGTGTAGATAACAAAAGCAGAAAATGAAGCTCCTATACTAACTCCCAAGCGAAGGGGTGGAAGAATGATGATCCGGGCACCTTCAGGTCAAAGTTGAACATGATCTTCTCTTAATGCTAAAGTAATTGCAAGTCAATCCTGGCTCCAGGGAAAGACTTTTAGAGAGATGGCCTCATTGTGTGCTGGCTGAAAGGGACAGACGCTGTTCAGAGTCACACCAAAGAACAGCAAACACTGTTGGAGCCTTTAGTCCGCCCTTGTTAGAGAAGATGCCCAATGAACATGCGATCAGCCTACCAGAGAAGAAAACTGGAAAGTAAAGGACCACAATGGTTTAGACCGACCCTGGAAAAACGATGTTATGATATTTTTCCCAAACCCTGTCTTAAGTTTCAGAGAAGAGACTCAATGCGAACAACCAATATTTAAATAAGATATACTTTCAAACAGTCAAAGGTATTTAGATACTTCTGGTAAAAACGGCACATTTGAGACAAAACATCAAACACAGGGTAAGAGGCTGGTTCTGGCCCGTTTAGGTCAGAAAGGCTTATTTAGAGTATTTGGATGGAGCAGAGGTGAAATCTGGTGTGTTTGTGATCACTATGGTCTGATCATATGTAAATTAATCCATAGCAAAGAGCTTAATTGTTTTAAAAAAAAACTGTCACACCTTAGGCTTTAATTGATCAACAAACGGCCATAAAGGAGGAGCAGACGGGACTGAGATCATAGTCTCACTATGTTAATGATTAACTTCTGAAAATAAAAAAAATGTGCTGCCATCATCTTATGTAGGAGGAGAGCATAAAGATGTCCAGTGCTGTTCACCAATAATTGGAAGCATCCTACAGAGTACTGTTACCTCCAGTTCAGAGCTTGATTAGAAGCATTAATTATACAATCCTTAACAAAAGAAATTAACATTCATACCTGTAATGAGGATACAAGCTGCATTAGATGTTTAAATGTTGAATTAAAGAATTAAACTGCAATCGGAGGAAGCTGGACCAAAAATCAGATGTATTTTTGTTAGAAATGTCATCATATACTTTCGAGTTATATTTCAGTATCAGTACATTAAGGTCGCACATACAACTGTGTTTCAGCTCAGAAATCCTTAGGTGTCATGGTTAGAGCGAAGCAAAGGAGGACATTTCTGCCACTGTTTTAGTTTTTTGGCCTGAACCGTGGCGTAAAATTAGTAAACAGGAAGTAGAAAAACAATTGAAATGGAAATGTATGGATACAAGAAGTCCAATGAATTAGTATGCACCAGTTCCTCTTTCCTCCTCAGATTTGCTGAGTTGGTTGTCTTTTGAATCTGTCAATATAAAGTAGGTTTCATTGTGTTTTAGTTACTCAACAGCCAGCCAGAGTGGTAAACTTGAATCTTGCACGCCCTTTAGGCCTTTCTGCGAAAGAGAATAGCTGGAATCAGCAGACTCCCTTTGGTCAGCAAGACTTTTTTTTTTTTTCAAGAGAATGTCACAGTTTCTGTACTTTTTACACATGATTTAAATTCTTTACATTTGAGTATTGATTTAATCTAAAACTGCTGGGATACTTTGACGGTTTTGCTGCCTGTAAGCAGTAGTGTAGTTGTAAAAGTAAAAAAAAGAAAAAGAAGGGGGGCAATGGATTTCTTTTTTTTTTTTGGAAGCATTCAGAGCCTAATTAATATAGTCTATTAACCTAAAGCAATATGCATGGTATGGTTGTAACATGTCAGGTATGCCAGTCATTGACCTTTACCAAGGCACCTTACAGTAGAACTGCAGTCAGTCCCTGGATTGGCATAGCTGTCACTGCCCCTACAGGGTTGCATAGGACTAATTTCCCTCTGGGATCAGCTTCAAAGTCATGGTAGGACACTTCTTTGATTTTATCTATTTTTCTCAGGCTACTCATAAGCCCACAGCCCGCCAAATATTGAGAGGGCAATATTATTGCCATTACTGTTAATATATATTAGAAATTTTACACATTCAGTAATAAAATGTCACAGGGGATGGTCATTTAAGAAGAGAGATCATTTTAAAGATTTTTTTTAAGAAGGGGGATGCCATATCCCCCTCATCATGAGTACTGCCTGTAAGCCCATCTCACCATGCGGAGATAGGCCTCCAGTGTGCCAAAGTCACCAAAGTTCTAGTTTCGAATAGAACTCATGACCTTATTACTCATTTGTCTAATGTAACAGTCTGGCTTTTCGTAAAAAGGAACAATGTCCTTGATACGGAAGAGGATTAGGAAAAAAAAAAGTTAACTGATTTTTTTTATTTTATTTCAGTATAGTATGGGAAAAAAGTCAGAATTCTGAGATTAAAGTCAGAATTCTGAGAAAAAAGTCAGAATTCTGAGATTAAAGTCAGAATTCTGAGAAAAAAGTCAGAATTCTGATTTTTTTTTCCCCATGTTAAACTGAAATAAAATTTAAAAATCAGTTAACTTTTTTTTTTTTTTTCAGTGGCCCTAATCCTCTTCCGTACCTTGAAGAAGGCAAGCTAAGGTTTTTTTTTCCCGTTGTGAAATGTTTATATACCAATTTAACATAGACTTAAAGTTGTTCTAGGGATTGCAAAAGGGGGGTTGCTTTTTGAAACCAAAAACTTGATTAGTGATATCTTGAGATCAATTTGATGTGGCAGGAGTGTTTTTGTGAAAACAATTTGAACATTTGTTGACAAGTTTCAGTTGATCTGAAACAGTCAATTTGGGGCTTAAAGAGATTTACATCCAGTAAAATCCAAACATTTGACAAAAAACTATAAAAATAAACTTTAGTTTTTAGATTTGATCAGGATACTTTAAAGTAGATTCAATTGAATTAAGTCAAAAGTAGACTGATCATGTTGCAAGACTTGAGCAAGAGTTTTTCTTTAACATTCTTTAACTTTAACATAAAGATGTAAACATGGAGGGAATTTGCAGTTTTCTTCCAGCTGTGAAAATTATGAAACCGGAAAGGTTGGGGAAAAAAATGTAAATTTCTGTCAGATGGTAAAATTTATACAATTCTTTGCTTTTATGGTTGAAAAATGCCCTTGAACACAAAATTTTCATAAGGCACAGTGGTGGCAGCATCATGCTGTGAGGAGGTTATTTGGAAGGGAAGTTATTCAGAGTTAAATGCAAGACGATCCCTGAACCAAGCATGTAAAAAACAAGATCAGGGCAGAGGTTCTTCCTAAAGCCGACAAGAACCCAGAGCTTCAATGAAAAGATTTGAATCATGTGTTAAAACAGCTCAGCTAAACTCTTGCATTATTTGTCAAATGAGACTTCACTAAGCTTGAAGCATTTTGCCAGGAAGAATGAGGAAAAAAAAAAAAATTAACTAAATGTTCGAAACCAATAGAGAAATGGAAAACAGCTACTTGATGCTGCAGGCTGATAAAACTGGTGCTCGCAGTTTTAAGTCTATAATTGTTTTTTTCTTTAGATTTGTTAAATTCTGTGTAGTTTTTTTTAAATTGGAATCAGAATAAATGAGTGGTAATACAACCATGTAAACAGCATAAGTAAACAAGAGTCACATAGAAAGCAGTTTAAAAGACCAAAACATTCACTCGTTTTCTTGCCTTATTGGTTTGAAGCCGAATGTTTGTCAATGCCTGCAACAGGTACAGAAGCTTTTGACACACCCTAATTCCACTGAGAGAGGGGGAGGGAAGATATACGACACCTTAACCTGTCTGAGCCAGTCACAGACTGGCTGTGGCATTGTTGCTATGGAGATGAAGGGGACAAACTGGGAGAGGCCAAAGGGAGCTGAAGAATACAATGCTTTGTTTACTTAAAAACACTTTTCTGGAAAATTTTAAAACACCCCCTCCCCTTACAGACTCTTTACTTGATGACTGTCTTCACATTCTCCAGGCTTTGAATGTTCCATTTCCTTGGAAAACCCTATGTGTGTCATAACTTAACCAGACAAACCGGTTCGATTGGTTAGTTCGCTGGATCCGAGAGTTCCCAGAAAACTGTTTAGTGGACAACCGCACCTTAACTCATTTTCCCCACAGTATGAAAATCTGTTTAAAAATCGGGGATTTAAAGATTCCCTGAAAAAAATAGCATATTTTAGAAAATGATTTCATGGATGAAGGAAACTAATTTCTTCACAGGTGCTTCACACAGGCAACATTCCCCAGGCTGAAAGCTTTACCTTCCAGTGGAAGTTAAATATTTGCCTGACAAAACCATTAGTATCCCAGACTTAAAATGGTTTATGCTCCAGATAAGAGTCATCTACTGCATCCATCTACACAAAAACAACTCAGGAGAACAAACCAAATTATTTTAAAAGTTTATTACAAAGTCAATAAACAACATAAGAAACTGTACAATTCATGACGAGTAATTTTCCGCTATTGAACAGAGTCTAACATTAAAAAGCATTACATCATACAGCTTCAAAACATAAAAAAAAAGTCATTAATGGATAATTGTACCGAGAGTTTCCACGTGATATAAATAAACAAGCAACCAGAAGAAAGGGGTTTCTGGAAGCAATCTCCATTTCTTGAATAAAGCCTAAAAACAAAAAATAAAAGGCAGACTCCCTCTCAAGGCCAAGCAGGTTCTTCATAGACTCCTTGTTGCATTACAGGTTGTCATTCCTTCCCTATATTTAGGAAAAACAAAGGCATGTCATTTATCTGTATAAATCTATCGCAAATAATTAGAGGTGATAGTTGAGAGGACGTTCCCTTACCCGATTCTTGGAGTTTAATTTGCGTCTGTTAAGCACGAACTACGCAGAAAAAAAATATATATATATATATATACAAGGATTAGAGCTCTGCATGACTTCCTTCTGGAGGTTTAACTTTCTGTAATCTTAGAGGGTGATGCACTTACCAGAGCCACTAGTCCGAGGACCACTAACAGCACCACCACAACAATGACTGCAATGATTCCTCCAGAGAGGTTCTTCATGGTGAAAGTCGGAGCCTCCTCATCCACATAGTAGACCACGACTTTTTCCATCTCCAATTTTTGGCCGTCTACTTGGGGACTGACCAGGGTTTCATCAAAGAACAGGGGGAGGACCTTGAACTACAAGAGAATTGAACATAAGTTTGGGTCCAAAATAAACATCCATGTTTCAAAACATTCGGTTTCATAGCCTTTTAAAAGCTTACATCTTTTTCCAGGTAGTAGGCCATGTTGCCAAGGTCAGTGTTGCGTTCCCCCTTTTCCTTCTTTACATCCATCACAATGAAGCGACCATCAGGGTCATACTAAAAACAAAAAAAGGCCTCATTAGGAAAAACTGTTTCATAATATAAGCCACATTTCTGAAAGAGGTAAAAAAAATCCTCTGGTCATGGGTTAAAGTTACTGACCTGAATGGTATCAATCAACTTCTTGTCAAATTGATAACGTGTAGAAATATAATTACCCATGGTCCTGGTGGAAGCAACAGAAGTTTACATTAGGAGGTAAAGTCTTAAATACACTGAAAAGAATTAAGAGGCATTACACAAACTTACTCTTTCAACTTAGCCTCATTCAGTGTAGTCTTAATTTCCTTGTGCTTGAGCTGAACACGAATCCAGCTGTAGGAGGGGGGGGGGGACAAATTTAATGTCAGACAATGTTTCCTCAAAATCCAGCTCTGAACGCCAGAGGATTTACTCACTAGGTCTCCACCAGCTTAGGACACTCGATGTTTTTGTCTCCTATGTCGGTTCTGCGGACACCAACACTGTTGACGCACCAGCACTCCTCCGTGCCGTTGCATTGCTTGGCCTTGAATTTGCCGTCATTCTCGCATTCTGGGTCGTAGATCCCATCATTGTCCACAAAGGCAGTCTCGACTGGTTTCCCAGCTATGCTCCTGACAGAGAGGCCCGCCCTGGCTCTTTGCATCTCAGCCTTCATTAAAAAGCACTTTGGAACCACTAAAGGTGAAAGACGGAAGGACTATAAGAACACCACCAAACTGCACAGATATACAAGTCACAACAGGCGTAGTATACTCACGTTTTTTACAGTTGATTGATTGCTTGACGGTTGTATCAAGTTGAAGTTTACATTCACAGCTAGCTGAAGTACCCTCACAGGTGGCCCATTTCATTGTTTCACAGACTCCACCTAGACAAAGAAACAAGACCAATTTGAAATTAGAACATAATGGGTATAATTTCCAATGAGAATAAAATGCTCCATGGGGTTGGGGAAAAAAAAAAAAGTATGCAGCACAAACAGGTAGACTGGCAGGTTTGTTTAACACCTGGGCGTTGGTTTCCGCAACCTGACAAAGTCCCAGGGCGAGGTCCCAACCCCCACCTTCACCAAAACCTCAAGGTTTTTGGTTTAATAATGCTACTAATTATTTTTCAGGGTTAGTGATATTAAACTCGGAATAAACCTTTACATTTATAGTAAACCAATTACAAAAAAAAAAAATTTAAATAATAAAAAAAAAAATCTCAGTTGATTTTACTTACAGGAGTCAACAGTCGCCACAGCTGCAAAGAGAGCCAGCGATATAAGGATAAATCCTCTCATAGTGTTTTTTTCCTCGCAAACAAACAAATAAAAGTTCTTCTCAAAGTCTCCGTCCGCCTTCCGCAGAGGTCACACACAGAATGAAGAAGGCGCTCAACAGCGCTTCCTTTAAGCTCCTGACGCAGGTGTGTCCGCTGGGCAAACCTGTTTGGACAGAAACTTCAGCGGGAGCGCGCACGCACAAAGAGCGCAAACAAGAGCACGACTCAGGTAGATTTAACAAGCGATTCTATGTGAATTCTCGTTGGCTTTGCTGACGAAAACACCTGCAGTTAAGTAGATATATAAGAGACGCGGCCCCTTACGTCACTCTAATTTACAAAGGCGGCGATGGGGGGGGAGGGGGGATGGCTGACGCTCACTTGGTTCCGGTGTGACCATATTTGTTTTCTGTTTCGGTCTTTGTTGACATCTTCTCTACTCTCGGCTGTAAAAAAAAAAAAAAAAAAAAAAAAAAAAAAAAAAAAAAAAATCTACAACTACACCCTGAGTTTCATTTGCTTAATTTAATGTTTAAGCCTTTATAGGGCCCTCAGTGAAATACTTTAAATATCTAAATTAAGTCATTCTCTCTTAAAATACGTGTATTTTTTTGTTGAATGAGCAGGTAAATGAGACACTTTGCAAATGGAATAAGAAAATGTACATTTAAAATAAGGGAAAAAGTGCTGCTTCATATTTCAAGAGCATAGAAATGCTTCTTCCACTGGAAGATTTACTTATTTACCTATTCAAATTAAGGGAAAATACACTTATTTTACATATTTACAAAATATGGATATTTTGATGGCAAAAATTAATGTCAATGTAATAACAAGAAACGGCAACTTGCCTGACCATATTAAGAAAAATAATAAAAGTGCTTCTGTAAGAAATTTTTTTTTCAACAGTGAAAAAAAACCCTTTTTTTAGGTACAACATAACCTTAGAGGCATATTAACCCTTTAGCTTTACTTTGTAACTTTTCAATTAGCTTTTTACCTTTTTTTCTTGACCTGTTATTCTTTTTTCCCTACTTAATTTACAGTAGGTAATATATCATTCAAGGGCTCATCTAATTGGTCAAATGCCAAAATAAGATGTACAGCCATGTTTTAGGATCTTTGCTGAATGGCTGGATATAGATCTTGTGCTTCTAGACCTCATTGATGGACAGGGGGACTCCATTTCTAAGGGGTATACAAGTGATCAAAACCTGTGACTTGCCCTATAAAGGGTTAAGCAAATAAGTTACATGAGAATCAAAAGATACCATTAAGACAGACCATGTTGGCCACAGTCTGAACGTTTTTTTTTTAAATATATTTCTTATGTTATGTTGCATTTGTTTGTGCTTTTTTACATATACATAGGGATTTTGGATAAATACATGTATTAACATTGAACTGTAATATAAAACATTATTTTCTGAGAATGGAATTATGCACTTCAGGTGTGTTCTGTCTAAGTATTTTTAATTGTAAGCTAGGATCTCAATTTCCTAAACAGATTGCTCCCCTTAGAGAGTTTTTCATTTTTGTTTAATAGGTTTCTGTCCTGCTATAAGTTGAGTTTGTTACACAGTCAGTGGCGGTTCTAGACCAAATGTTCCAGGGGGCCAGGAGGGGGCCAGCGTGATTTCATGGGGGCCCAGAAAAGGATGAAATAAAAAACAGGGAAAGGGGTTTAAGTAAATTAATGTAGCTGCATGAAGTGAAATCTCTATTTAATTAGCTTTAATTAAAACTATGTTCTTATTAGGTCAATATACATTCGTAATTAGGACTTTTACATATTAGTGACTTAATTTAAGTAAAACTGATAAATTCAGTTGTAGAAATCAGAGCAATTTGTTTTGAAAAAAACATTTTGCAGATGAAAACTGGGATCCTATCTAAACACCACTGAAGCTATCACCTTATTGTTTTTAAATAATTAGTAAAACACAATTTGTAAAGAAAAAAAATGAAGTAGATCCAAAGGACCTGTCAGTAACCATGTCTATTCCAGCGCATATCACCATTAGAATTTCTTTGAGTATTACGTCTTCAGTACAGGGGCCATAATAGGGGCCAGGACATGTTCTACTGGGGCACTGGCCCCCGTCAGCCCCTGTCTAGAACCGCTCATGGACATAGTAGCTAATTGATTCTCTTCCAGGGTGTTCATTTATTTACCCCGATTAACCTTTGCAACTCTGATCAACTTCCTTCTCTCTGCTGAAGAAATGTTTACCCAAAAGATGACACCACCACCGTATTTTATAGATGGGGTAGTATTTGTTGGATGTACTGGGTCAGTTGGTCTCTGCACAGATTTTGCAGACAAGCCAAAAAGTTCTGTTTGGGTTAAATGGAAGGTCACATCTGAATCCAATACTATTTTTTGTTTCCTCTGTTTGGGAGTTCTAGATCTGGGCAGTAAAATTATTTTCTTTTTTTAAGGATCTATTTCATTTGTTCATGTCCAGTATGAGAAACTTACACACGTCAGACATTATAGAATGATTTTACCCGGAACTAATAATAAGACTCATTTAAAAATTGAACTCTGATATTAATCTAATCTAATTAATTAAAATAAAATCCCTTTTTAAAAGTTGATGTTTTTTCTGTAGACATATTCAGTGAGTAAGGAACGGGGGCATAAAGAGCTTCCTGCCCAGAACACCACACATACAAGAAAGTAAAAAATGTCATGTGGTTAACAATGTATGGGACTTCCATAAAGAATAGAATAGAAAATCCCTTTATTGTCCCACAATGAGGAAGTTCTGGTGTTTTCAGCAGAAAAAAGATTATAGAAAAAATGTCACACAAATATGGACCTTTAAAAATGTATAAGTAAATGGCTTATGGTTTTATAAGCCATATGGGCTTCTTTCATCTATCACTTTCTGTGCTTTACATACAAGTTTGGTGGCATAAATGATTATTAATGTATGAGGAAGATTTTCATAAACATATTTCTTCAATATTATTATTACTATTATTGTTATTATTATTATTTTCACAATGTTTTATTGTCATTACATTATCACAAGTACAGGGCAACAAAATGAACTCTCTACATTTAACTCATCCCCTTGGGGAGCAGTGGGCTACCATTATGGGGCGCCCGGGGAGCAGTGTTGCAGTTAAGGGTCTTTTTTCCATGGACCCAGAGTGACAGTCTGTGGGAGTGGGGCTCGACGTCAGACCTCAGGATTCCAAGCTCTATGCCCTATCTACTAGGCTGCCACTGTTACCGGTACTTCATTTTTATTTTTTATTTTTATAAACTTTATTATTTATAATACACAACAATACAAAACTGCATTGTGTACATATCACAAAACAACAAAAACATTTGGGGGGAGCATTAACAGAAAACAATAAAAGTATAATAAGAAATGACAAAATAATCTTGTTTAAAGAAAAACAGTACCAAAGGTGACAAAAATACCAGATGCCACAGTGAATCAACACAATAAATTATCTAAAATTCCAATTTGATTGCAAGCCAATAAAGTTGTTTTTGGTTTTTTATTTGTTGAAGGTCGAATTGTAAATATATAATGTTTAAAATAAAAAAAAATAAAAAAACTGAAAAGTCAGGTTTTTTTCTCAAAAATGTGCATTTATGAAGATGAAATTTAGCCTTAATAATTAATAAATTGATAAGAAAACCCTTCGCATTCATTCTTTCATTTTGTTGAAAACCAAACAGGACATGTTACTTCATTTAAAGTCTAAAGACTAAAGTTTATGACTTAATAAACTGTGAAAAATTTTAAAGGGTTGGGGCAAAGATTACAGAACACTTATGTGTTGCATTTGTTACACATTTATTTTCACTATATCTGCAGTAAAAAAAAAAAATGAATATCCACTTTTTCTAATAACATGTATTGAGATGTAATGTAAACACCTTGTAACAGATCCATCCTTTCTTTTCTACATAAGCAAAAGCCAGTCTCCAGTGTTTGTTTTTCTTTCATAGCATAGTATCATAAATAATCTCTGACAGGATAACATCATCACCTGTCCGGACAGGTATCTACCTTAGCAGTTTCTGTTACGGTAGATACCTTAACAACCTTTTCCAACGTTGTGAGTCACACTCTCATGGCAGAAGCAGTTGAGTCACAGCCTCAGGTCTCGTTCCAGATGATCTGTTTGAGAAATATTTTCAGAAGTTCTGCACCAGGAATAGTTGGGCTGACTCATAAATTTTCATCAGTTTAATGGAAAATTATTTGAGAAACACTAAAGAGAGCACCTTAATGGATCATATGTATTGCCAATAAGCCGTTGTTCTAATGCTTGGTGAAAAAATGGCTAATGGTCATTTCCTACATGCATTACAATGGCTATTTACATGTTTTTTTATGTTTATTATTTATTTCACAGGGACAATGTCTAAGCACATTAATCTTATTGAAACAAGATATGTTTTATACCCGCTTTAGCTACTGTTAATCTGTAGTCCTATCATTACAATGCTTGCGACATTGTCTATTTAGTTAGCTAGCTACCCTAATAGCAACTTTTCCTAGTCTAGCTGTAAAAAAAAAAAAAAAGGGGGGGGGGGGGTTAATTTTTTTTTTTTTTTGGAAGCATTCATAGCCTAATTTGGGATCAGCTTCATAGTCATGGTAGGACATTTCTTTGATTTTATTTATTTTTCTCAGGCTAGTCTAAAGCCCACAGCCTGCCAAATGTTGAGAGGGCAATATTATTGCCATTACTATTGATATATAGTAGAAACCTTACATCATCCCTTATACCTGTGATGGTTTGACTCTTCATCTGGTTTCTCTAGATTATTTGATCAAATATTGTCCCATCCCAGTAGAAAACTTCTCATACTTCCACCTCTGTGTTTGACTGTAGGGATTCTGTTTCTCCAAAGAGGCTGGAACAGGTAATTCCACAGAAAATGATTTCGATCTAATCTGAATTCAGCACATTCCTTTAGATGTTTGGAAGCAAAATTCAACAGGAGCTGCAATGATTATATTGTCGTTTTCTCAGTGGTTGTTTTTGGTGACATTAATAAACCTCTCCAGATTAGTTTGTGGTACAGCCTTCTTTTTTCATTCTCCTCTCAACAGATGGGAAGGTCTCTCATAGAGATCCAGTCTAAAAATGACTTTTTTACATTTCTTCTTTGTCTGCACAAAATCCTGAGGTTATTTGGAAACTATTTGTATTCTTCCATTGTAGTGGAGAGGTTGGAATGGAAGAAAAAAGAATACATTTCAAATTATGTTTAAGAGAGTGTACATATAATTC